AGACCTGTGCGGTGAGGGAGAGAGACCCTCTCCTCTTCCTGAGCCTTGGCCCACCCCCACTCCAACACCCTCCCCCCACCCCCCGCCCAGGAACTGTCAGAGCTAGGACTTAGCAGGCAGGGGCTGGAAGTCCCCAGGAGGAGCCAGGATAGGGGCAAGGATGGCAGTTTCAAAGCTCTTCCTCTCACCCTGGATCTGCACTGTCCCCTCCACCCCCCACATACCTGGAGCCTAGAAATCACTTCAGGGACCTGGTGTCCAACTCTCAAAGCTGCCACTGTGACTCTGCCTCGAAGCTAACAAGAGCAAAGCAGGGGGTGAGGGTGGGGGCCTAGAGTGTCCGGGGCGGTGCCCGGCTCCCCCGATATAGCAACTGCTGTCAGAAGCACCAGATTCCAGGCGGGAGAATGCCAGGCGGGTCACACGATCCAGCCAGGGATTAGATGGCAGGCGGGGGTGGGTGGTGGGCAGAGGCCCCACGCCCCCAACTGTGGATAAGAGATGAGGACTCCTGCCCAAGCCAGGGCCCCAGTTGCCTTTCCTTTAATGAGAAGGCGACCCTGTCACCAGACTAGGCTGAGTGGGAGAGTGCCCAGCCCCAACCCAGTAGCTCCCTGTGCTGGGAAGAGCAGAAAGAGAGCCAGGAGGCCTGAGTCCTTTCTTGGCCAGGAAGCTTGAACAAGTTCATTTTACTGTCATTTTACTACCTCCTCAGCTCCCTCTAAGATGGAAATTCCCCCACTTGGTTGGCTTCCATGTTGGCTGGTATAAGACTCAAACCAGGCAATGAATGGGAAATACAAGTCACTAGGAGATACTCATCCCATTCCAGAATACCCACTGAGGTTTCAAAGGCCCTGTGGGTAACAAGCAGCTCAGTCCTGCCCTCAAAAAGCCCAGAGTCTGGGATAGCAGAGGGGAGTCAAACAGGCGATCAGCCAGTTATGAGAGTGTACCCCAGAACCGCAGAGGATGGCAAGGCAAATTCCAACCCCACAGCCACCACCTCAGGGACTACAGGACACAGTGGCATGCAGCCGCTCCCCTCCTGTTGCTGGGCAGGGTCTCAGCTGTCCTCAGCACCTACTGACTCACAGCCCCCAGAGGGAAATTGCTTCCTCCTCTGAGCAAGCCCAAGGCCTGAGGGACATAGCCTGGCTCAGGAGGACAGAAACCTGTTGCCTGCAAAGCAGGACTGTCACAGTGCTCCTTCCAAACTGATGAGCCTCTACTTGTCTTCCAAAACTCAAACTGGAGCATCTTGTCCACAGTCACTCCCCATTCCCTCATCCTCTGGGCTCCCACGGCCCCTTGTGACCCCTCAGTCAGGGTATGTATCCTTCTGGGTTGTGACTGACAGGACAGCATCTGTCCTCAGCCATTGACAGAGACTTCTGGGTTCCAGTTTGTGTTTTCCCAGGTGCTGGAATCAGTAATACTTAGTTAAATAAGAAAACAGAAGATGTCCACCTGAAGACCAGGAAGCCCCCTGGCTATAGCAGCTGTGAGAAAGCCTGGCCTGAGTGAGCTTCTCCCCTGCCAACAGGAGGGAGAGCTCAGGCCTCCCTGGAGACCCAAGCAAGGTGCAGGCAATGGAGGTGCCCGGGCACAAAGCAGCTGCCCCACCAGGGGCCCAACAAGCTATTCACCTTGTTTCCTCTTGAGTCTGTCTCACTTGCCCGGAAAGGACTTGCCAACCAGATGGAGAGAGAGTTGCAACCATAAACCACAGGGCCTTTGGAGCTGTCCCAGTCAGACATCAGGGACCTGGGGCCCCCTGCCTGCTCTAGCCTCCATGCTCCCTGCTCCCCAGAGAGCTGCCCCCCACCCGTTCCTTCTCTCTGGCCCCAGAACAGAGCAAGCTGTGTGTGCAGGGCTGGCATGGCTCCCTCCCTCCGGCCTCCCAGAGCAAATACAAGCCCAAGCCCCAGGCACAGCCAGGCCCCACAGCCCCAGCTTGATCTGGCTGTAGGGGTGGGCATTGCGCCTTGGCCCCATTGAGGAGGGCTGGCACCTTGTGCCTCCTGACTTCAGCAGAGACCCGAATCAGTCCCCCAAACACGCTCAACCACGGACAAGAGCTCAGAAAGCAGGTAATAAAATCTTCCCAGCCTCAGGAGCCAGCACCTCCTGGGCCCCAGAAAAGTCTTCTGGGGCTTGGCAGTGTCTCCTCACAGCTGCCCAAGCCAAGGTAGGGAGTCCTGGAGTTCAGGTAAGAACCCACCCTCCCCACCTGAGGCCAAATGGTACTCCACCCCAGACCAGCCCGCACCCCTTCCCAGAAGCAGGGGGGCATGTTCCTGGCAGGGAGCACAGCCATCCTGCCCTGCCCATCCTGGTGTCCTGAGTCACAGGCTGTGCCCCGGGGACTTCTTCCCCCAGAAGCCCCTGCCCGTCAGCCCACAGCCCTAGGATCTAAGGGCACAGGAGAGGGGAGTGGGCTGGTCCAGAGAGGGTCACCTAGGCCAGAGGGGCTGGAACCAGCAGCCAGAGCTGCCCAGGAGGCTGGGGGAGGGGGTGGTGCGGGGAAAGGGGGAGGAGGCAGGGCCAGGGAGGGGCATAACAAAGGGGCACTTTTGGAAACCCGACCTGCCGGCTGAGGTGCCTGCTCCCTGATGACGCACTCCAGTCCCCAAGCCTCCACACCAAATCTCGGAGCCCAGAAGCTGACCGTCTCTGGCCTCAACCCTATGGACGGCGCCCTTCGACAGGCCGCCTTTGCCGACCCGGGGCTGCACAACACAGAGCCCGCGGTGCCCATGCGGAGCGGCAGGGCCAGGCCTAGCCATGGAGGCTTTCGGACTTCTTGGCCAAACTTGTTGAACTTGGTCTCTGCGGGGGTGGGGCCAGCCGGTCACCGCTGAGAGGAGGGGGCGCCCCCGGCCTGGGGGCGTCCCCGGCCCCCGGATGGTGGCCCGGAGCAGCGACCCCAGGAATTGCGGCTCTTTGCAGAGGGCGAGGGGTCGCCCGGGAGCGAGGCCCCTTCTGGGTCCCCAGGGCGGGCGCAAGGAGGGCGCTTAGGAGCCCACGAGGGGCACCAGGAGATGGCTTGACCCTCCAGGCCCGATGTCCCCCTCCCCCTCGCCGGCCCGAAGAATTGCAGAGTTCGCGGCGCCGCAAATGGAACACCCCTTGGCTCGGCAGATGGCCCGTCCTCACGCAGAGCGGGTGGCCCGGGGCTCCGGGATCGAGAGTCGCTCCCATTGCAAACTTCGGGGGCCGGATCAGGAGAGGGCGGGCTCAAGCCCAGGCTCCCGCCGCCGCGTCCCCACCCGGTCACTCACCGCCTCCTCTCT